CCCAGGGGCTGGATATGGCCCTCCAAGGTCATTTACTCAGCCCTCGCTCAGGGTCAATCTAAGTCTGAAATGACTTGAAAGCACACAACAACAACAACAATCCTATCTCATCAGCCAAAAGCAGGCCCACATTTTCCATTTAAATACTAATGAGTTTATATTTGTTTAAATTGTTCTTCATTTTAATTATTGTATTATTTTGAGTGTTTTTTGCACTACAAATAAGATATAGGAATTCATTCGTGATTTTTTTCAAATTATAATCCGGCCCTCAAACAGTTTGAGAGACTGTGACCTGGCCCTCTGTTTAAAAAGTTTGAGGACCCCTGCCCTAAATGGTTCCAGCCCAGATTACCTGTCCAAATATATCTTCCTCTATGAACCATCTCAGAAGTTAAGATCTTTTGGGAAGACCCTGCTCTCAGTCCCACTTCCTTTACAGGCACGGTAGGCAGGGATACGAGAGAGGGCCTTCTCAGTGGGACTCCCTCCCTAATGAAATCAGATCAGCACCTTCCCTCCTGACCTTCAGAAAAAAAGCCAAAAATGTGGCTGTGGGACCAAGATTTTGGATTGCAATCTCCCAGTGCAATAAGTGAATGTGGAATAGTGCAATGGCAATTGGAACGGTCTTGGACTATGGTATTGGATTACGTGATTTTAATAAGTGGTTTTAATGTTTGATATGTTTTTTGAGCACTTGGTTTTAATGTATATGTTTATTTTGTCTGATGATATTTGTGTGGCATCAAATTGTGCCTTATATGTGAGCCACTCTGAGTCCTTTTTGGGGTGAGAAGGGTGGAGTTTAAACATGGCAAATAAATAAATAAACCCTATCATTAAAAATCTGTGTATACCTATCCAACTGCCTAATGTTTCCTTGTTCCTCTCATTCTTTTTAAAGGTAAAGACAAGTGGTTCCTTTTGGTAGACTTGTGGTGTTCCAACCCTTTCCCTCCCATTGACAATGATAAAGTCGCTAGAGCCCAGGATGTCCAAGTACATCAGGCTGCCTGAAGGCAAATGACAAGAATGTGTATCTGGAGACATAAAGTGTATGGAAATTTTGAACCTGGAGTGGGAGGGGAAGCGGGAGGATTGTTCCCCCAGGGGGAAGATACAATTGAAGGAGGAATTGAATGATATGCAAGCCTTGCTATGATATCAAGCCTAATCTTATTTTTCTGCTTTAGCAACACAAAATGCATCAGTGATATTATAATTAGCATATGAAATGGTACATCAGCACGTTGATGGCATTTAAAAAAGGAAAAGATTGTGGGTTGCACTGGCAAAATTTGAATATATCCTATCTTGAAGAGAGAACTGTGCCATCTAACACATGTATCTTAGCTTTTCTTATCTGCGAAATAGGGAGAAAGGAAAACAAAAGCCACAATTTTTGAGTAAGCAAATTAAAATGTATTATTTTGACAGAAACCTGTCTCACATGGACACAGTTCTAGTCCTAAATAAGATTGTTAGATCCAACTGGAGCAGGCCCATTGTATAAAGGAAAATTAGCTGTTTTCTCATCATTCAGCCATTGATTCCAATGCTCAATTTCGGATTATCAATAGGATCCGAGACTCATGAATCACAGCTCAACAGCTGGAATTACTTGGTGAAAGATGACTGTTTCAACCTGAGATGTACTGTATATACTCGAGTGTAAGCCTAGTTTATTTTGAAACTTATCAGTAGCTACTGCATTTCCCACCCTTGGCTTATACATGAGTCAATAAATTTTCCAAGTTTTTGTGGTAAAATTAGGTACCTTGGGTTATATTCAGGTTGCCTTATACTCGAGTATATATGGGTAATTGTTATATTCATAGATTTCAGAAACCTTGTGGTTTGTGTGCGTCAGTAGCATCTTGTAGGTATAAAAATAAATATTGGATGTAAGTTTTGTCTGTGTCTTATTATTATTTTCAAATAGGCAGAAAATCCCACAGTATCTGCTTTGATATTGTGGGGTTGATGGGGACCCTTTCACATAGCCCTATATCTCAGAAAATCCTACAATATCTGCTTTGAACTGGGGGCCCTTCCACACAGCCCTATATCCCAGAATATCTTCTTTGAACTGGGTTATCTGAGTCCACACTCAGATAATGTTTGATTTTCTGCCTTGATATTCTGGGATATAGGCCCTGTATAGACCTATAGACAGATATAGGTCTGTGTGGGAGGGCCCTGTACACACAGCTGTATAGAATCCTGCATTATCTGCTTTGAACTGGATTATGTGGCAGTGTGGACTCAAATAACCAAGTTCAAAGCCAATTTTGGGGATTATCTGTCTTGATATTTTGGGTCATATGGCTGTGTGGAAGGGCACTATGTCCACACTGCCATATAGTACAGTTCAATTTGGATGTTATATAGCTGTGTGGAATGGGTCTGTGACTCTGGACATCAGGGTTTGAGACCTGGTTGAACCCTCCTTGTAACCCATAGGGTGATCTCAAACTTGTGACATTCTCTCAGGGCCCTTCCACACAGCCATATAACCCAGAATATCAAGGCAGAAAATCCCACGACAGCTGTTTTGACTGGGTTATGCGTCCACACTGCCATATATCCCAGTTCAAATCAGAAAATGTGGGATTTTATTCAGCTGTGTGGAAGGGGCCTCGGCCCCAATAGAAAGACATCGCAACTCTCCTCTGAACAAATCTTGCCAAAAAAAATGTGATAGGTTCATGTTCAGTTGGGAATGACTCAGAGACACATTGCAACAACTTAAGTACCCTAAAGATGCCAGATCCTACCTGATCTTGGAAGTTAATCAGGATTAGCCCTGATGAGTCCTTGAATGGGAGACAACTATTGAATAACTGGTGCTGTGGCCTATATTTCAGAGGAAGGATATGCCAAAAATGACATATCACAGAATCATCATAAGCCATCAGGAGGGACCTGATCTTGAAGGAGGGGTGGCCAAATAAGTGTGGGAACTGATGGACCAGCCAAACCACCTCGGAGAATCCCTTGCAATAATAATAATAATAATTAAAAATGCATATGCAATTAATGTTTGCCACACATTGACAGGTGACTGAAGAGCGCTTGTGAAGAAATTGTGACTTCCTCCCTTGCCACAATCTGAAAAAGCCAGTAGCATTGGATAGGAAGGGAAGGGAGCACAGGGAGAGATGCCAACATGGGCACCATTCGGGTTGGGTTTAAGTCAAGATTATGTTCTCATGGTGGAGCAATAAATAGGAGGAGACATCCATCAGGGCACACCCGGTGTTTATTGCCCAGGGAGAGAGAGGGAGAGGGAGGGAAGGGGGAGGAAGAGAGGAAAGGTGGTAGAGAGAGAGAGAGTGGGAGGGAGAGAGAGAGAGGGAGGGAGGAAGAGAGGAAAGGCGGTAGAGAGAGAGAGTGGGAGGGAGAAGGAGAGAGTGAGGGAGAGGGAGAGAGGAAAGGCGGTAGAGAGAGTGGGAGGGGGAGGGAGGGAGGAGAGAGGGAGGAGGAAAGGCAGTAGACAGAGTGGGAGGAAGAGAGGAAAGGTGGTAGAGAGTGTGAGGGAGAGAGGTAGGAAAGGCAGTTGTGCGAGAGGGAGAGGGAGGGAGAGAGGAAAGGTGGTAGACAGAGAGCGAGAGTGGGAGGGAGAGGGAGAGAGATGGAGGGAGGAAAGGTGGTAGAGAGTGAGAGGGAGAGAGGAAAGTTGGTAGAGAGAGTGGGAGGGGGAGAGAGAGAGGAAAGGCAGAGAGTGGGAGGGAGGAAGAGAGGAAAGGTGGTAGAGAGAGAGAGAGGGAGAGAGGGAGGGAGGGAGGAAGAGAGGAAAGGCAAGAGAGAGGGAGGAGGAGAGGTGGTACAGAGAGAGTGGGAGGGAGGGAGAGAGGAAAGGTGGTATAGAAAATATGAGGGAGAGGAAGAGAGGTAGGAAAGGCAGTAGAAAGAGGGAGAGGGAGGGAGGGAGGAAAGGCGGTAGACAGAGAGAGTGGGAAGGAGGGAGGAAGAGAGAAAAGACGGTGGAGAGAGAGAGGGAGAGGGAGAGAGAGGGAGGAAGGGAGAGGGAGGAAGGAAAGGTGGTAGAGAGCGTGTAGGAGAGGGAGGGGGGGAGGAAGAGAGGAAAGGCGGTCCCCAGATGTTTTTGGCCTACAACTCCCAGAAATCCCAACCAGTTTACCAGCTGTTAGGATTTCTGGGAGTTGAAGGCCAAAAACATCTGGGGACCCCAGGTTGAGAACCACTGCGGTAGACAGGGAGAGAGAGAGAGAGAGAGAGAGAGAGAGAGAGCACAGGGAGAGATGCCAAAATGGGCACCATTCGGGTCGGAGGTTAAGTCAAGATTATGTTCTCATGGTGGAGCAATAAACAGGAGGAGACGTCCATCAGGGCACAGCCGGTGTTTACTGCCCAGAGAGAGAGGGAGGGAGGGCGGGAGGAAGAGAGGAAAGGCGGCAGAGAGAGAGGGAGAGGGAGAAAGAGAGGGATGGATTTCCCTAGAATCCTGCAGAAGGGTCGCCAGCTTCAATTGGACGAGAATCCCTCTCTTGGCAGCCTCCAATGAGGCGAACCCTCCTGCTGGGGAAGACAAGCTTTCCCCCATTATTAGGATGTCTGTCCCCTTCGTCCCTCCCCCTCCTTGCTCATGCCCTGTCTCCAGGCTGCTCCTTTCTGTGCCCATTTTAACACCGTGAGGCACACGCTCTCATTCCGGGGCTTCCTGTTGGCTGTTCCGCTTTAAGAAGGAAAAAAAGGAAAGGAAGCACACCACGCAGCATCCAAACAAAACAGCCTCCCCTCCTCCCCGCCCGCTTCTCTCATCACGAAGCACCTGTTTCTGCGCCTCAAGCCTGCCAAGAGCGTCGGCCTCGGCGCTTCCGCGCTTTTCTCCCTTTGGGAAGCAGCACCTTCTCGCGCCCCTCCCCTCCCCCAGCATAATAATTATAACAGCAATAAGAACAACACGCAGGAGAAAGCTGTCTGAGCAGCAGCGTTTATTTATTTAGTGCGCGAGGGAGGGAGAGAGGGAGGGAGGAGAGCGCGAGACTGACAGAGCCCGAGCGTGCGTCACGCCATTCCCCGCTTCTCTTTCCTCCCGCGCGCGGACACGCGTGCACCCCCTCCCTCTTCCTTAGAGAGAGAGAAGCGCGAGGCGACTTGTTGGAGCGGCGGGGCGCGCGCTGTTCCTCCCGCCTCCTCCTCCTCCTCCACCACCTGCACCGCGTGTCCGCGTGCCAATCTCTCTCTCAATCCCGCGCGCGCGCCTCCGTCGTCAGCCCCCGAAAGGCGCGCGAGCCGGAGAGGCGCCATCCGCGAAAGAGGAGCCAGCTGTGAGGGAGAGGGGAACCCTCGGCGCGGCGGAGGAAGGAAGGAAGGAAGCAAGCAAGGAAGGATGGGCGCCTCCTCAGGAGCAGCAGCAGGAGCAGCAACCTCCACAGCGGCGAGGCCAGAGCATCTGGGCCAGCGGCGGAGGCTGAGTTAGGCGAGGCGAAAGCTCCTTTCTGCTCCTCCTCGTCGCCGTCGTCGTCTTCCTCCTCCTGCCTGGAGGGCCGGGCTCTAAGGGGGCGCATCCCTCCTCCTGGCCGGGGGCGAGGCGGGCCCAGGGGGAGGAGGGGCGGGCGCGAGCGAGGCCCCCGAGGGCTGTTCTCCTTCGCCCTCCTTTACCTCCTCCTCCTCCTCCTCTTCTTCTTCGCCTTCCTCTCTGACTGAGGCACGCTGCTGCTGCTCCTGCTGCTTCTCCTTCTCCGTGGTGCCGCCGCCGCCGCCGCCGCTGCTGCTGCTGCTTCCACTGGCCGGCCGTGCGCCCAGGCCGGGCTCGCGCGCCTCCCTTCCGAAGAGGAGCCGCCGCCGCAGCCGCCGCCGCAGCAGCAGCAGCAGCACGATGGCCGGGGATGGGCTCGGCGGCGGGCGCTGGCGGCGGCGGCAGCAGCAGCCTCGGCAGGAGCTCCCCGGAGCCCCGGCGGCGTGCCTTGCCCGGTGTTAGCCATGGCAAATGGCAGCGGCGGCGGCGGAGGAGGAGGAGGCGGCGGTGGCGGCGGCGGCGGAGGCAGCAGCAGCTCCAGTGGCTCCAGTAGCAGCTACTACTCGGGAGGCGGCGGAGGCGGCGGCGGCGGCGGCGGGGCCAGTGGCAACATTAGGATGAGCAGCCCCGTCGGGAGCAGCCTCAACGCGGACTCGTCCTCGGCGCCGGGCGCCCGGCCGTCCAACGCGCTCATCATCCCCATCACCATGGAGGTGCCCTGCGACAGCGGGCAGCGCATGTGGTGGGCCTTCCTGGCCTCCTCCATGGTCACCTTCTTCGGGGGACTCTTCATCATCCTGCTCTGGAGGACCCTCAAGTACCTGTGGACCGTCTGCTGCCACTGCGGGGCCAAGGAGAAGGTGAGGCCGCCTTCCTGCCCTGCCCTCCCTGTCTTCTTTGGGGCAGCCCCATTCATAGAATATGGGCACCATCATAGAATCATAGAATCCTAGAGTTGGAAGAGATCTCATGGGCCATCCAGTCTAACCCCATTCTGCCAAGAAGCAGGAATATTGCATTTAAATCACCCCTGACAGATGGCCATCTAGCCTCTAGAATCATAGAATCAAAGAGTTGGAAGAGAGCTCATGGGCCACTAGAGAACGAATCCACTTTAAATCCAGTTTCTGCGTCCTCCACAATTCTGGGGTTTGTAGTTTAGTGAGGCTGTTTTAGAATCACAGAGTTGGAAGAGACCTCATGAGCCATCCAGTCCAACCCCCAGCCAAGAAGCAGGAATATTACATTCAAGGCACCCCTGACAGATGGCCATCTAGCCTCTGTTTTAAAACCTCCAAAGAAGGAGCCTCCACCACACTCCCGGGGCAGAGAGTTCCACTGCTGAAGGGCTCTCACAGTCATGTTCTTCCTCATGTTCAGATGGAATCTCCTTTGCACCTTCATAGCATCATAGAATCATATATCTACATCACACTAGAGAACGAATCCACTTTAAATCCAGTTTCTGCCTCCTCCACAATTCTGGGGTTTGTAGTTTAGTGAGGCTGTTTTAGAATCACAGAGTTGGAAGAGACCTCATGGGCCATCCAGTCCAACCTCCTGCCAAGAAGCAGGAATATTGCATTCAAAGCACCCCTGACAGATGGCCATCTAGCCTCTGTCGGTGGGTGAGCAATTTTTATGTGTCTCTCACTCGATTTTATTACGATACTAGCCGTCCACTGCTATGCATTGCTGTGGCCCAGTCTGCGTATATCTGTTTTGTGTGTATATATATGTGTATATATGTGTGTATATATTTCATAGAATCATAGAATCAAAGGGTTGGAAGAGAGCTCATGGGCCATCCAGTCCAACCCCCAGCCAAGAAGCAGGAATATTGTATTCAAAGCACCCCTGACAGATGGCCATTCAGCCTCTGTTTTAAAACCTCCAAAGAAGGAGCCTCCACCACACTCCCGGGGCAGAGAGTTCCACTGCTGAAGGGCTCTCACAGTCATGTTCTTCCTCATGTTCAGATGGAATCTCCTTTGCACCTTCATAGCATCATAGAATAATATATCTACTTCATCACACTAGAGAACGAATCCACTTTAAATCCAGTTTCTGCCTCCTCCACAATTCTGGGGTTTGTAGTTTAGTGAGGCTGTTTCAGAATCACAGAGTTGGAAGAGACCTCATGGGCCATCCAGTCCAATCCCCTGCCAAGAAGCAGGAATATTGCATTCAAAGCACCCCTGACAGATGGCCATCTAGCCTCTGTTTAAAAACCTCCAAAGAAGGAGCCTCCCCCACACTCCCGGGGCAGAGAGTTCCACTGCTGAACAGCTCTCACAGTCAGGAAGTTCTTCCTCATGTTCAGATGGAATCTCCTTTGCATCTTCATAGCATCATAGAATCATTTATCTACTTCATCTGCCTCCTCCACAATTCTGGGGTTTGTAGTTTAGTGGGCTGTTAAAGGCTGTTTTAGAATCACAATGAGACTCATGGGCCATCCAGTCCAAATAACAGATTTGGTACTTTATCACCCAAGGGAATGATTCCACTTTAAACCCGGTTTCTGCCTCCTCCACAATTCTGGGGTTTGTAGTTTAGTGAGACTGTTAAAGGCTCTTCCCTAAACTACAAACCCCAGAATTCTGTAGGAGGCGGCTACCAGATTTATAGTGGATTCATTCTCTAGAGTGATGAGATGGAGTATGTGCAATAACTACAGGAACGTCTTTGGGCTAGAATTATAGATTGCATGATTTATATTTATGTTTTTATTTATCGTGTCAGGAGCAAGCCAAACAGTTGTATTGAATTTTTTTTAAAAAAAACATACCATTACATTCAATAAATGATTTATATTAAATGTAATGTTTTTAAAAAACGTTTTACATGCTTAATGCATATTAATTTAATTTTAATGTTACTGCAATTGTATGTGTTTTAAGGCATTGAATAATTGTCTATATGTAAGCTGCCTTGAGTTCCCTTTGGGGTAGAGAAAGGTGGTGTATAAATAGGGTAAATAATAAACAACCTCCTGCCAAGAAGCAGGAAAATTGCATTCAGAGCACCCCAACAGATGGCTATCCAGCCTCTGTTTAAAAGGGGCAGAGAGTTCCACTGCTGAACAGCTCTCACACTCAGGACATTCTTTCTAATTTTCAGATGGAATCTCTTTTCTTTCCTGTAGTTTGAAGCCATTGTTCTGTGTTCAAGGCCCTTCCACACAGCTGAATAAAATCTCACATTTTCTGCTTTGAACTGGAATATAGGGCAGTGTAAACTCAGTTTAAAGCAGATATTGTATGACTGTGTAGAAGGGTCCCTAGTCTCCAGGGCAGTAGAAAACAGGCCTGCTCCCTCCTCCTTGTGACTTCCCCTCACATCTTTATACCTGGCCATCATGTCTCCTCTCAGCCTTCCCTCCTGCAGGCTCAACATTCCTCTGAAATTGTTGGGTGGTGGTCCTTCATCCAAGGACTAACCAGGAATGATCCTCTTTAACTTTACACATCAGACAGAATCTGGTACCTTTAGGTTATTTAGACATAAGCACAAGTATAAACAGTCATCTGTGAGGAGTATTTTGATTATGCTTTTCTTGCATGGTAAGGGGTTGGATTAGGTAGCTCAGGCATGGGGAAACTTCGGCCATCTAGGTGTTTTGGACTTCAACTCCCACAATTCTTGACAGCCAGTAGTCCAAAACAGCCGGAGGGCCAAAGTTTTCCCATGCCTGAAATAGCCCATGCAGTTTCTTTCAACTCCTATTATTATTCTATGATTCTATGTACCCTTCCAGACAGGCCCTATATCCCAGGATCTGATCACAGGTTCTCTGCTTTGAACTGGATTATATGAGTCCACACTACCAGATAATCAAGGACAAACAGAAAACCTTGGATCAGATAATGGGATGTACTGCCTGTCTGGAAGGGCCCCATGATTTCTATCCCATTGTTGTCCACAGCAACCTCCTCCATAATATTGTGTTTCCTCTTTTCATCAAATGCTTCATTTTTGTGCCTAAGCAAAGTGTTGACCCTTCTGAGATCAAGTCTAATCTAATGCTTTAAGCTTGGGCTTCATAAACTTTTCCTGCTCATGACCCTTTTTTACCTGAGAAATTGGAGCCCCCGGTGGCGCAGTGGGTTAAACCCTTGTGTCGGCTTAACTGTTGAACTGAAGGTCGGCGGTTCGAATCTGGGGAGTGAGATATGCTCCCATCTGTCAGCTCCAGCTTCTCATGTGGGGACATGAGAGAAGCATCCCACCGGAGGGTAAAACATTTGGGTGTTCACTGGGCAACGTCCTTGCCAATGGCCAATTCTCTCACACCAGAAGTGACTTGAAGTTTCTCAAGTTGCTCCTGACACACACACACACACACAAACACACACAAATCTTCATATGACCCCCTAATATGTAGGCATATAAAATAGGCATTAAAATCAAACATTTACTGATAATAAATTAGCATTTTCAAGGCTTGCTAAACAGGCTGATTTTCCTTTTTATGAAGTACAGCTGAAGAATTGTCTGCAGAGTCCACTGTAAACACTGCACCTTGTTGCTAATAAATTTATGTGGCACTCAGAGACCTTTCACTGGTGCCAATTTTTTGTGACCCCCAACACTGAGCCAAAGGAACCCCATTTGGGTTTGGGACCCACGGTTTAAGAAGCCCGCAGCTAGATCAGCCCTGGGCTGCCTTTGGCACCGCAGGTGGTAGACCCAGGTTCCAAAGCTTGGAACATGTGAAATGGCCCTTTCTTCCCAGATCTAACTTAAAACAAGTTTTTGTTGAATTCAGTTAAATATAAAGGTGTTTGTGGATGCCTCTGTGCAGCCGCTCCAACACATGTTTACTCAGTTCAAAGGCTTCAAGGATACAGATTTTACTTGGGAATAAATTCTGACTATATTTCCTCCTTGATGCCAGTTGGACTTGTCAGTGAGTCCAACTGAATCCAACCCTAAGTAAATATTCATGGGATGTAGAAATTGTTTCCTAAGTCTCCAGTAAATATTCATGGGACTTTTACTCTTCTTCAATATGTTAGCCGTTTGTTTCCTTTCAAAGTTATTGCTTTCCTATTTTCCCGTCCTTCTCCTTTTCTTCATTTCCTCACACTGTTCCCTTTTTATCTTCTTTGTCTTCTTTTCTCTGTTGATTTTTTCATATTTTGAAAGCGATTCCCTATTTATAGGAACTAATGAAAGTTTTGTGGTTAATGCCTTTTTTGTGTGTGTTGACTTCCAATCTGGGCCTTATAACACCTCTATTTAATAAGAGTTGTTTGTTTGCTGTCTTTATGTTGCCTTGCGTTTTTCTGGTGCCAAGATATGAGAGTAAAGCCATGTGTAAGTGTGAAGGATATTGTGATCCCCAAAAGGACAGTGACCTCTGCAAAAGTCAAGGTTTAGCCAAAGTTGTGATGGAGTAGTCATGGGCATGAATGGGTTGAGAGTGAAAAATGGAGACTTTCATTGGGAGAAATGTCTGAAGGGAAGAGAAAGAAAAAAAGGTGACTATTTCCATTCCACTTTTACCTTCCTGAATGGTTACTTCTTGCATGCACCAAACAAATAGGCAGGGAAGGAAATGCGTCTTTGTATCCACTTTTCCAGTCAATGGGAGTCTCACCATTAGTTGCTGACTGTGTTCAAATATTTAATAGGAAATTTTGTCACTTTATATTTAACTGTACATTATGACAGAGTAAAATATTAATTATCTGTTGGTAGACAAAAGGATTCAGTAACCTTGCCCAAAGAAGGAATGGCAAGCCAGCCAAAATAAATACTTTCAAAATGCAAACATACTTGGTCATGTTGCATTTCATATAATTTAATGCATTTTGGCAAGAAAAGAGGACATTCAAGTGTTGCCCTTTGTATC